AGATTAATAAAGCTGGCAAAAAATAAGATTAATAAAAGAGAAAGACACAAAATTAGGGGGGGAAACAGTATCTTAAATTTCTTTAAAAGCTAAAAAAATTGTGATAACTGATTAAAAACAGTCTTAAAAAAACAATAATTTTGTATGACATTAGAAAAATAACACTAAAATACTGGATGTACTATAAATAAAATTAGAATGCTATTGGAGGCTATTTTATCTTATATAAATTATAGTTAGATGAGATAATTATAAAAATTATCCATATAATCGTTATTTGAGTTGAGGATTATAGCTATAAAAATACACTAGATCTTAAATTTCTTTTTAAAAAATTGAGATAAAATAGAAAAAAGATCTAAAATAACAATTGTTTTGTGCATATATTAATAATGCAATATTTGATTTTTCCATGTTCACACGCATTAATAATGACAGGCAGAACAGTAGATATGATGCATGTGGATGGACCCGCCAGTGGGTCATATGTTCAGGTGGCGGCTCTTCATCTGATGGATCACAGATCACCCTACTATTTCGCTGATGCCAAAAGAAGAAATAAATTTTATCCAAAAAAAAATAGTAAATTAATATAGTCCTAATTATAAGATTTTTTTTTATAATCTACAAACGAGAATTTATAAATAATACCGGATATAGTATTACATTTATTTTAGGAAAAATTGCTATTTTATTTAATAAATTTGGGCCGTCCCAAAAACTACTTCTGGTTTTTAATATGAAATATAGTTACTTTTAATTTAGTCTTAAATACAGTATTTTAATTTGTTTTGTCTTTCACATTAATCTATTTTTTTAAAGTTGTCATTCTAGTAGTTGTACATATTAAATATTTTATTAAATGGTAATTATATCTAATACATATGATTAGCAAAGGTATTTTAAGAAAGACAACACCTATTTGTTATAAATAATTAACTTAACAAATTTTCTTAATATACTCAAATTAGTCAACTAACATTATACTCATTCGGTCCATAATATAAGACCTATTTAACTAATTTGATTAGATTAAAGAAGTTAGATAGGTTAGTTAATTATAAGAAATATGACATGTTTTTCCTAAAATACCATAATCATTTTTCTTAATATCCTCCCTCCATGTCCTACTTGATTATGATTGAGAGAATATAAATATGGGTAATTTAGAAAAAATTAATAAATGTGATAAGTAGGTCTTATATTTAGGATAAAGATCAATTCAACAATCAAGTCTTATATTAGGGACTAGAGGAGTATTAAATATTGGAGGTAGTATTAAGAACCGAAAATAATATATCCGAAACATTTACTTCCTCCATTTGTATTTACAAGCTTCAAATTCAGAAAATGGTGTAGTCTATTTTATAAGTTCTAATTTGAAATCAGTCTAAATATTTAATACACTTTTTATTTTTGTTTTTAATTATTTATTCTCTCATATTTGTCATACTCTCTTGTCACATTTTCTTATACATTTTCTTTCATTATTTTTCTCATTTATTATAAGAGTATATTTAAAAATAAAACAATATTTCTAATATTTTTATTGCCTTTCACTAATTTTAATTACGTATTCATTATATATGAATTAGTTATTTAAAATTTATAATAAGAGTGAAAGTATTATTTTAAAGTAATTTTAATCCATATTTTAATCTGCATGATTTGGTTAGTTGCAACAGTTAGCCCAAAAAAAACCATGTAAGGAATTAGAAAAAATATCATAAAAAATGACCCCCCAAAAAAACCCTCCTAAAAGATGCTTTGTCATTATTTTTTTGCCACTTTATCTGATCACTGTAACTTTGTTTGGAAGAGCCTATTTAAGGTAATTTTGCGTCTTCCAAAGTAAATAGAGCACTATTCTGTTTTTTATTATAATTTTTTTAACTAAATTACTGTTTAAGAAAACAGTTAAAATTAATTTAAAACAATTAATATGTAACAAATACAATTTATTTTCCAAATATATCCCAATATGTAAATAGGTAGATATGAGAGAGTAATAATGAGATAAATGAAGAAAGACAATGTGTTAAATACATTAAAGTAGAGGTAAAATATGTGAAAACATATACTTAATTTTACCCTTCCAAGTTGTCCCTCGTCTCTTATGATTATCCTTTTGGGACTAAAAAACATATACTTGATTTTACCATATTTAATATTTGTGTATATAAACAAAACCTTCAAAAGTATTCTAATAAAACATTTTAAATTACAACATAAATAGCCTTGAAATAATTTTTTATTTTCTTTTGGTAAATATTTATTTGAACATTTTAAAATATCTTAATTACAAAATTTTTTTAATACTAAGTTATTATAAATAACTTTTTTAGGTTGGAATCGTTTAAGTAAATAAAACTAATGAAATTATGAGAACATAGTATTGAATATTTCTTGTAATTAAGATATTTTAAAGTCTTAAAATAAATATTTAACAACAGAAAATAAAAAATATTTATTTTCAGGCTATTTATGTTGTAATTTGAAATGTTTTATTAGAATATTTTTGAAGCTTTTAGTGATACATAAAAATTTTAAACACTATGAAATCACTTGTGTTTTTTACTCCTACAAAATAACATAGGAGATGAGAGATTACTTGGAAGGAGTAAAATAATTAATTTTTATTTTTAATTAAAGGGAGGTAATTTAGTCATTTGACAATATTTAAAAATCCTAAATTAGGCCATATGGCTTCATTAGAAATTTGTTAAAAATGTAAGCCTTAATTTGGGTTTAGATATTTTAGTCAAATTTTGTTGGGATTCTCCCTATAAACTATCTCGGTCTTACTTATAAGTTGTAAATTTAAGAAGAGGTGTGATCCATTTTATAAGTTTTAATTTGATATTTGTCTTAACATATAATGTAATTTTTTTAATTTTGTCCACAATTATTTATTATCTCTCACTGACATAATTTGTCTTATTATATTTTCTCACATATTTTTTAATCTTTTTTCTCATTTATTACAAGGACATTTATTAAAATAAAAATATATTTCTAATATATTTATTATTTTTAACTAATTTTAACTACTTGTTCTTTATCTGTGAAGTACTTCCTCTGGTTCTTATTATAAGTTTTAAATAACTAATTTACAGATAATAAACTATTTGTTAGAATTAATTAGAAGCAATAAATAAGTTAGAAATATAGTTTTATTTCCAAATATACCCTTATAATAAATGAAAAAACGATGAAAGAGAGTGCATGGAAAAATGTGATAACAGAGAATATAATAAAAGAGAGAGAATAAATAATTAAGAACAAAAAATAAAAATATATATTAAATATTAAAAGATCATATTCTTTTTTAAAATTATTGTTTTCTTTTTCGAGAGAATGGGATCCAATTAATCAACGGGAAAATTTAGTTTAAGGATAACAGTATAGAATTAATTTCAAAAAACCCTCCAAATTTTCTGAAACTTTACTACAGGACCAAGGGGCAAATTGATATTAATTCCACAAAGAAAATGACACTATTGCCCCTCATAATACTTACTTATTCCAGGGTGACATATAAATAGACTAATTTCAATTGTAAATAAAGGTATGTATGTTGCAAATTGTCTAAACCCACTTACAAATAGACTCTCCTACACTTGTTCACTCATGGGCACTTTTTTCAGGTGAAGAAGGTGACATATAAATGGACTAATACTAGTTGTAAATAAATATATGTATGTTGCAAATTGTCTAGTCCTACTTGTAAATAGGCTCTACTCACGGACACTTTCTTTAGGTGGTGAGGGACTAATTTCAGTTGTAAATATATGAATGTATGTTGCAAATTTTCTAATTTTACTTGCAAATGGACTCTTCTACTTTTATTATGAGGGGCAATAGCATCATTTTTTTTGTGAAATTAATATCAGTTTTCCCTATTGGTCATGCAGTGAAGTTTCAGAAAGTTTTGAAAGCTTTTTAAAAGTAATTCCGTGGTCTTTAAACTCAATTTGCCCTTAATTAATTGCCATTCAAGTGACGTTATGGAAAAGGAATCAACGGAAGCGTGGGACGGTTATTTTGACAACTAAAAGCATGTTCTACAGTCTTCCCACTACAAGTCATACTCTCTCTCACATCTTTTTGTTTTTTTTCTTCCTATTCATGACCCTACCGTCTACACGCTTCTTGCTTCATCCTTAATTCTTTTTCCTCATTTTTAATTCTGTTTACATATAAATAAACGAATCTTCCATGATATCTACAAGAAGAGGGGAACAAATAAGGTGCTAAACTATTTTTTTATCTTCCAGTCCAAAACAAAAAAAATTATGCGCCTTCGATGCCGAAAATATTTTGTTGCTCATTAAGGATAAAAAGATATATTTTTAAATGTAGTCTTCTGTCCTATTTATAGGGTAGATAGTGAAGTTTTTTCTTATCCTATTTATAAGTCACTTTTTTAGATTTTTAATATGAATGTACTATGTTCTCTTTTATTTATTATAATGTAGGTAGTTATCTCTTTTGAAAGGGGCATATATTAAATATAGGTAAAGTTAAAAATTTGTTATACCTTAATGGAGAGTTAATATATTTTAAGTTTTTTTTGTCTGTATGAAATATGTTGAAAATGCCTTATAAATAAAACCAAAAAAGTATTCAGTATTTAGAATATTTTATGATACAATTTTATTTTAAAATATTAATTTTTCAAGAACAATTGTGTCCATAAAGTATTTCACAGGAGAATTTTTAACCAAGAGGTTACTTCCTTAAAAAATAATTTGAATCAAGCATCTTATAATATTTTTTTATTATAAAAAAATATTTTAGAGTGTTAGATAAATCATAAAATAAGTGTGTTGGAAACGATTGGAAAAATATTTTAGAACAGCCGATAAACCTTAATTCAAATAAAAATAATAAATATTCCACAAAATTAAAAAAAAAAACTATTTATATAAAATGATCGAATCGGATCTACAGTATCCAAACCCGATAATTAAGCTTATGCGCTTCATCTTCTTCTTCCTGCCTTGATTAACCATAACGTCGTGGTGATGTAGTTACTTTATTGTTTTGCTGGAAATTTCGAGTATATGCCTCCTCTCTGGTTCACGTGAAACGCTACGGTACTTCTAACTCGTCTTCTTTTTCTCAGAACTCTCAGTTTGATTCGTTTGTGATTCCAGTTTTGTTTTCTTTTTCCACTTTTTTGGGCTCTGAGTTTGATTGTATTTAATTATTGCAATTTGCTGCGCCAGTCATTCTCATCTGAATCTACCTTTCTCGCTGAGACGTCTTCCGTGGCGTTGTTTCATTCACCTTCTAAAGCTTGTTCTCGGCGCGGGACGCTTGTGAATTACGCACTTATTACTCCTTTTTGTTTTTCTTCGCTTCACACTTTCATGGGCTGAATTTTCTCCAAACTTCGTCGTTGTTCTTTATTAGGCTCTTCTTTGAGTCGCCTTGACTTAGCTTCCACTCTTTGCCGACTGACATGGATACGATGCGAAGCCTTCTCTCTGCCGCCGTCGAGAGTCAACCAGGAGGACAGTCCCTTCTGGGCTCTATCAAAATCGCTGTGCTGCCCATAGCTAAAGTATTTACTATGTGTTTTCTGGGCTTCCTCATGGCTTCCAAGTATGTTAACATTTTGCCTGCTAACGGAAGAAAGCTTCTGAATGGGGTGAGCACTTCTTGTTCTCTAATCTGTTGGTAATTGTAAATCCTTCTCTTTTCTGTTTTTGCTGAACGTTTCTGGACCGTCTCATGCAGCTGGTTTTTTCACTATTGCTACCCTGCTTGATATTTTCTCAACTTGGGCAAGCCGTTACCTTGCAGAAAATGCTTGAATGGTAATTACTTTACTCTTGAGTTCGATTGCTATCTATACCAAGTTGTGAAATTTACAGTCTTTCGTTGCTCAGGAGGTTCGTGTCATTTTTTCAGGTGGTTCATTCCTGTGAACGTTGTTCTGGGTTCCATATCAGGCTCGCTGATTGGTTTAGTTGTGGCCTCAATTGTCCGTCCTCCATACCCTTTCTTCAAATTCACAATCATACAAATCGGAATTGGTAAGCCCTCTAAGAAACGACCTTAATTTAAAGTTAAGCTTATGTACTTGATAGTCCTCAATAGGCCAGCTCTACATCTGCAATTTTGTTGTACTGTTCAGTTGCCTTCCTCTGATGTTGTCCATATTAGAGTCAAGAACATGTGGATCTCAAATCCAAAACCTAAAAGTTCTTTCTCCTTTCCTTGAATTTACAGTCCATTAGTACCCATTGCCCCCTTCCGTGTAAGTGAACAGTTTGGACGCCTCCATCTTATGAAAAGGAAAAAAGTTCAAGACAAGGGTAAATTATCATGAATTAGTCCGAAGTTCATATATAATCACATAAGATACAGTCTTCTTTTTCAACTTTATTTTCCATTATCTGGGATCAGCAATGCTGCTAAACATGCAATTTCTGCACTTGGCATAGCATTCTGACTGTATCTTTAAAGCATGTAATATTAGATTTGCTACACCTAACTCCTGCTGGGGTTATGTTGGTTTTGTGAACTTTGTGTTGAATTTTCACAAATCATGTCATTGTGAAATTCTGAAACAGGGAACATTGGGAATGTGCCACTCGTCCTAATCTCTGCTTTGTGTAGAGGCCAATCCAATCCTTTTGGAGACTCAGACAAATGTAGCACAGATGGGACTGCGTATATATCATTTGGCCAGTGGGTAGGTTTTAGATGCCTGCATGACACTATTTTCTCCTGTCTTAGTGCTTTTACCTTCAAATATTTCAACTGAAAAGTCATTTTAAAAAGAAAAAGCCTCTTTCTGTACTGCATGCTAGCTTACATGTCTATACTTGTTCCATAAACCATACTTCCAGAAAAACAAGATTATACTGGTCGACAGGGATTATTCATTTTGATTTGTCTTAGGTTGGTGCTATCATCCTATACACATATGTATTTAATATGTTGGCGCCTCCTCCTGAGGGCACCTTTGACATTGATCACGAAAGTCTTCCCCTAAAGAGTGCTGCAAAAAGTGACGGCTCACCTGAACAAGTTCCCTTGCTTACTGAGAAAGAGGCCGTTTCAACAGAGCCTAATGTTTCTAAAACACAGAAGGTGAGAATGGCTTGATACACAGAAGTTCATTTTTGTCTCTTACATTTAAGCTATTCTGCTTTTATATAATTTGATGAAAGTTATTGGTGAAAATTGGATACTCCCTTTTCTGGAAAAGGGGAAGGGAAAATGAAGAATGTTTGCAATGTTTGCCGGGAAACAATAATTGAAAATTTAGTTGTTTTAATTGAACGTCCAGGTTAGACCAATAATATAAAGTCGCTCGGTTGCAAATTCCATCCTTTGAGAACGTTGAAATGTCACAGATGTTTGCACAGCCTGTGGTTATGCAAGTTGTTCTTAAGAAAGAAAATCAATAGAAGATAATTTTATGGCACAAAAAATAATAATAATGTATGGTGTAGTTGAAATGAAGGTAGAGGAAGTTGGTATTGTCGCTAGAGGAGGTTGAGCTGCTGGCGAAAGAGGACAATGAATGGATGTGCTCTTATTTGGTGAATCATGCTATATTTAGGAGTCACTTTTGAGAGCCATCAAAGTAAGAGTTGATCTCAGCCATAGGCCAGTGTAGTCTCTGGTTGAACCATATAAGAATATTCATTAGAGGCCTCTGCAACATTAAACAATCTGCCAATACGGTCTCGTAGTTTGCACTGTCTGCATTCAGAACATAAAGTGAACGACAGACTACGGTCGTGTTGGAGTCTTGGAGAAAAGTTTGTGATGTCCAAAAATTTGCTGTCCTCTTCCGCCAATTCCATTGCGACCTTTAGTCCAACCTAGTTATCCCACTGCATGTCTTTCATATTATCTTTGCTAGTCATATAATGCGTGGTTGAGGGACCCTTTCTTCTTTGAATCATTTACACATCCACCGTTACTATTGGTGGTGGTTTTTGGATAGAGTTATAAGTAGTTAGAATGTTTCTCTTTATCCTCATTTACTATTGTCATGTTTTGTGCTTAGCCACATTTTTTCAAAATTTTTTTCTGAATACCATGTTAGTCATCTAATTACCTGTGTCTTAAAATGGTTCTGGGCTTTTGTGTGTTCCACGATCTTGTTGATATCATATATGGTAATAACACCTCCCTGAGGAGACTATGATGTCATAATCAAGCCATGCATTTTCACATAATCAAAATGTTCCCATAAGACAAGTTATTTAGTGCTGTGTTAAGATAGTGGATTGATCTTATGTGCTTATATTCAGTGCAGCTCTGTTTGTTCTAAAAAGCCTATTTTTTCTTTAGTGCCTCCCAACAATTTTTTTTTTGGGGCTTTTAACAATAGTAATGAATACTGTTTCATTCTATTTTCATAACATGTCCTCAAATTTAACTGGACACAAAGTATCTAAGATGATTTGTTGTCCAAGTCAATAGGTCCAATTATCGAAGACATGTCTTCTTCTGGATTCCGAATTTAACTTCGTCTTTCAATTTTTTTATTAAATGCATAAACATAGTATCATTTTATTTAATATATTCCCATGGACGGGATTTTTTCAGTAACCCCTTTTTTCTTCTTCTGCAGATTAAACATTTCCTTGCAATCCTGTATGAGAAGTTGAAGCTTAAGCAAATTCTTCAGCCTCCTATCATTGCATCAGTAAGCCTCACATACCGAACTGCCTTCACCCCCATCTTTTTTTGTTTGCGTGTGTGGTTGGAAGAGTAATATGTACATCTCTTTATAAGCTTATCCAATTTACCTAGGTTGTCCTTTCTCAAAATTTTTGCTAGCCACTTGAGTAACGAAACTTTGTTCAGTGACAAGTAGGTTAACCTGTGGGAAATGGGCATATTCTGTTACGTCCCATTTTAAAGCATCAGGAGTGTTTATGAAAACTTTTTAACGGACCTACATGTGCTCACCTTATTTTCTGCATTCTACATCACTATATCGACAGTAGTATTGCTTCATCTTCCTATATACAAGGTTGTAAAATTACGTTTGTCGTGTTCTAGAACTAATTTACTGAAATTATATGTGTTGCAGATTCTGGCCATGGTACTTGGTGCAGTCCCACTTTTCAAGCGATTGATCTTTACACCTGATGCTCCTCTGTTCTTCTTCACTGATAGTTGCATGATTCTGGGGTATGCTTATTTAATTTGAAACGAAGTGAAACCTAGAACATTCCATTGTTGGAGCTAGGAATATTTAGTTTTTTTTTTCCTTCCTAAAACACAAATCTATCATAATGCTTAAAGAACAACTTATTCACATAAAAAATATTATTACATTCATATTGACATTTTAATATCCCAGCTGTTAAAGTCGTTAGTAACAAAAATCTTGATGACAATCAGGAATTCTTATTTGGAAAGTTTGGTTATATAATCTATCCTACTGATCGAAAATGATATTTTCCAGCTATAAGTGTATGCGTGTAATTATAGGTATGCTATAGGAACTATTATTGGTGACATTGTCTAATAGCCGTTCATTATCAGGGAGGCCATGATTCCTTGCATCCTGTTGGCATTAGGAGGCAACCTTGTTGATGGTAATCTCATATCTTGGCATCAGTCCCGTTTTGTATAATATATTTGCGCTGATATTGTTTCTCAAGTCAACTCTTTTTGACTGAAACTCTTGATGATTGTTGACTGTGCGTGCTATATATATTTGTAGGACCCGGAAGTTCAAAACTTGGTTATCGGACAACTGCTGCTATTATAGTGGGGCGGTTAGTTTTGGTACCTCCTGCTGGACTTGGCATTGTCATGTTGGCTGACAAGCTTGGTTTCCTGCCCCCTGGTGATAAGATGTTTCGATTTGTCCTTCTCCTGCAACATTCCATGCCCACATCTGTTCTTGCTGGTAATTCTTAGCTCCCACTGTTTAAAAAAATCTCCTAAACACGATTTTGGAGTTAAAATTTCCAAGGATGTGATATTACATCAAACACATAACTTGTATAAACACAAGTTCTTGGATTGGAGATTGTTTCTGCTTTGACCTCTTAATTGCACATAACAAAATACTGAATATGGTTTTTCATGTTTTAATCCTTTACTTGTTTACAGGTGCTGTTGCTAATTTAAGAGGTTGTGGAAGGGAAGCCGCTGCTATGCTGTTCTGGGTTCACGTTTTTGCCGTCTTCTCAATGGCTGGATGGATTATTTTGTATCTAAACATTCTTTTCTGAGGCGGCATTGGTGAGCTTGGTTTCAAAATTGTTTTGGTATATAATCTCATGGATTTTGTCCTTGGTTTAGCTGGGATTCATGATGGCTTCCTCCTGATTAATGTGAAACGGAGCATATTCTTCAGGAGATACTGCAAATTGTTATTGAACACTCCCTTCCCAGAAGAAAATGGATGAAAGGTGAGTAGTAGTGATTTAAAAAACTCCATCTAGCTTTAGAAGTTAGACTGTCTTATTGTTAATGTAAAGCCTCTGCTGGAGCTGCAGCATGTTGAGTTATGCAGCAGCAGTGAAAGGGGACTTATCTTTAGTGAAGTTCGAAAAGTTGAGTGACTAATAGACTGAAGTCTGTAATACTGACTGACTGCTCAAGTTTGTGTATAGTAACTGAGGAATATGATTTCTTTCCGAAATCCCATCCAGGAAAAGAGAAATATTATTACTTTTATTATTAATTTACTGTGAATTAATGACAGCACATTATACACTTGATTAGTACTCCTCCGGTCCTAAATATAGAAATTAATTAGGAAATTGGTTTTAATCCTAAATGTAAAATCTTAGTCCATTTTATCTTTTATATTCATCATTTTCTTCCAAACTAATTTAATCTAACTTACAAAATGTTGCATATGAGTATTTTAGGGTGATCGTATTATACTTATTAGAATTAAGTAATTTAAGGCTCCGTTTGCCATCATGTTTGAAATCACTTATAAGTACATTTTACACAAGTCAATACAAAACTCCTTTCACATATTTACCTCATATTTCATAAATGCTTATAAGTCATTCTAAACAAGTGTTTAGTCTCCTTAATTTTCTGGACCAGAGGAGTAGTACTCTTGCATGACATAAAATATTAAGTTATAAAGTAATAGGATTGTAACATGTAATATGGTACAAGTAACAATTAGGCCATCTCTCACATTCACCTTTGAGCTCCAACAATCCACTCCTGAGTGTATGAATGAGTTAAAAAAAAATTCCATCAACTATAGGGAATTCACTAATTTTTGAATTCTTATGGGTGAATTATTTAGTGACAAACACTGAGAACAATTCATGAAATGATAATCTCATGCTAAAATAAATTATGTCTAATCAAACAGGAGGGAAATAAATACTTCTGTAAATTTTGGTGAGCGCATCGATGTGTTTAACACGCATGACAAAAAAAAAAGTTTTTTATTGAACAAAATTTTGTTAGAAATAAAATTTTAATATCAGTGGATAGTTACAGATTACATTTAGTAATTAATATTATAAATTTCAGGTGATTAAAAGATATATTTGGTTTGATGATTAGTCCATCCCAAGTACAATTGATCACAGTCCAAGCTCCTTAAGCCTAATAGCAACTTTCAATAAGATCAATATCTCAAAAGAGGACGTAGCTAGCTCTCTTTATTTGGTTTCGTATAGGTCCTCTCATTATGGATATATAAGGAAAATCTAGTAACTGACACTTTGACTGGGAACCAAATGCTGCCGTTGTATTATACTCATAACCTTGATGATACATTGAATATGTGAATTATTTATCAATTCGTCATTAAGAAATAAAACAAAAATAAAATATTTTTTCAACTTTCAGATATACGTGGAAAGTGATCGGTGAAATTGAATGGCTTTTATTTATATATATATATATATATAAATGCAGATGCGTCTCTGGTTTAGATGGTATTAAGAGAATAAATTAATGAATAGAGTGAAGTGATTAGCTGTCGATAATGAGCAATGAATCTTTGCTTTACTTGGCTGCCAGGATTTCCAACGTTTCTGAGTTGTTGCCCAACATCATCCTTGCTTTGTTTTGTACGAGAAAACCAGAACCAACATCATATATTTTAAGAAAAAAATATGAGAGAGAGAGAGAGAGAGAGAGAGAGCGATCCGTCTGGCTATCTCATGATCAAATGATCATATCCTCTCTAGATACAAATAAAATGAGCTTACTTTATGTGCATTTACAGAGCAACTAGAACTGAAAAATCAACAGAGGTGAAAGTAGTTGAATGACACCAAATGCCTTTCTAAAACGTGTTTTTTTTTTTTAAGTGTGATATACTCCTTAGGTTCTATTTATAGAATACTGAGAGAAATTTTGTGGATAGATGTACAGTTTCATCTTTCATTTGTTATTGTGTTAATTTTGCTTGTATAAATTATAATGTATATTAAATAGGAATAAAATTGAAAAGTTGTATTTTAAATGAGAGTTTACAAAGTTTAAGTTTTTTTTGTATGTATAAAACATATTAGAAGTTACTTATAAATAGAACCAGAGAAGTATTGTGATTCAAACCTTTTATAAAAATACTACCGTCAATCTTTAATATAAGAACTAGCTGACTAATTTGAGCAGATTAAAAAAAATTAGTTAAATTAGTTATTTGTAATAAATAGATATTGTTTTTCTAAAGTTCTAACTAATACAACTACCATTATTATAAGGACTACTTTGAAAATATATATAAGAAACAAAGTGAATTGAGATCTTATATTTAGAATTAAAATAAAATTCAAATAAACTTTTATTTTTATATTAAGAACCAAAAATAATATAATGATGTGAGTTTTGACCAAAAAAGAACAAAGAGAAGCGCAAACACCTTAAATAAGGGGGACGGTACTTGCCCTTGTGTTAATCATCCTTCTTTTGATACTCCCCTCTATCCATATTACGCGCACCCTCAGCATGTTTCATAATAATATTAATTTTTTTCCTACCAAGTATTTCTAATTACGTTATAAAACTTCCTAATTAATTAGCAAAGCTCAACTCACTATTGAGGTAGTAGTTGCCTCACTTCGATAAATAGGAAAACATAAGTTCGAATCCTGTAAAACCAGCTATTCCTTCTTAGCCCGAAGAGAATCCACCTAGAAAAACTTTTATTGAGGGTATTTTTAATAGTTTATAAAATATAAAAGTTAATTTGATTTTTAATTTGGTCCTAAATATAAGATTTCAATTCATATTGATTCTCATATTTATCTATTTTTTTAAGATAGTTGCATAAGTTAAAGGCTTCATCAAATGTAGTTTTAACTAATATACATGATTAGCAATGGTATTTTAAGAAAAAACAATACATATTTATTACAAATAGTTAATTTAACTAATTTTCTTAATCTACTCAAATTAGTCAACTAACTTTTATATTAAAAACCAAAGTAGTAATTAACTTTAACTAGTTTTATTAATTTATGTTAGGCGCTTATTATTAAATGTACCCGAGGTAATATTATCTAAGTTGTTAGTGATAAAAAAAATGGTTACATGAACTTTGAAAGGAAATGTTTTATGTAGGCCATTGCATATAATGCAAGGTGACCAATTTGAAGAACTTCTACAAAACATTCATAATCACAAGTTTGTATTAAATATCTCTCCGCTGGCCCTTCTCTTTTCCCCCAAAGAAAAAGAAAAAGCCATGCTTGATGCTCAATTAATTCTCTCTCTTCTGGTCAAAGCTTCACTCATAAGGAAAACCCATTGCCAAGCCGCATATCACAGACAAAATAAAAAAACATGTAATAAAATTTTTAGAAAATTCTGTGCATACTAAAGAAATAAATGAAAATTTATACTATAGCTTAACAACATCTTTATAAAATATGTATATTTTAACTATTTTATGGAGGTTCATATATATATGTATATATTAAAAATAGTATATAATGTAAATAAAATTCACATATAAAATAATTGAAATTTATAGAAAATGAACTATTTATATACACTACTTCTAATCCTTAATATAAGATATTATTTAAATTTTATTTTAATTCTAAATATAAAACTCCAATCTACTTTATTTTTATATTTATTTATTTTTAAGATAGTTCTTCTGATAATAATAGTTTTAACCAACAAACTTGATTAATAAGGATATTTTAATAAAAACAACACCTATTTATTACGAATGACTAATTTAATTTTTTTTAATATAATTAAATTAGTTAACTAGTTTTTATATTTAGAAATAAAAGTAGTACTCCTCCGGTCCTAATTATAAGACCCAATTGACTTATTTGAGGAGATTAAGGAAGTAAGTTAAGTTGGTTATTTATAATAAATAAGTGTTGTCATTCCTAAAATATCCTTGTTAATTAAGTATATTGGCTAAAACTATCATTATTAGAAGGATTATCTTGGAAAAAAATGCATAAATATAAGAGATAAAATGAATTGGGTCTTATAATTAGGACCAAATAAAAAGTTAAATTGAGTCTTATAATAAGGACCGGAGGAGTATTAATTTTTCAGAATTTATTCAAAGTCACATCTAATTTACAATTTCACATGAACTTCTTCGTATGTGTCATAAGGACGACGTTAACTCGGGAACACACCCACCCACCTGTTACGTAAGGGGACGTGGGGGCCACTCTCTTTATATTTCTTTTATTTAATTATTATTTAATTACTTTTATTTTTTGCGGGTCCCACAGCCGCTCTCCTTCCTTCTTTGGCTCTTTGCGTGTTTTTCTGTTATATTTTACTCTTTGGATTTGGATTATTCTGTGACTCGCAGCAACGGAAATTAGAGTTCGTTAACAGTTGAATTCCTCCTTCCCTCGTTTTCGTCATCGTCGTCGTCCGTCGCTGGAGGTGGCTGTCTCCGCCATATATTCCGTGCAATAAAATGGCTTACCGGAGGAGGCAGGGAATCTCCAGAGCTTCTACCTTCAAAGAAGAATTTCATCCTTCTCCCAACGATCCTGTCCTCAATGCTTCTCCTCTCTTGACTCCTTCTTATTCTTTTTCTCCCTCTTCTTCTTCCCCTTCCTCTCTCGCTGCTCAGGCCATCAAAGCTTCGGCCTCTCGTCGAGATCCTGCTCTTTCCTTCGCTTACACCGACTCCGCTTTTGCCTCTGATCATCTCAGATCCAAGGTTTGTTTCTAATCATTTCATTACATTTCCTACCTTCTTCTTCTTCTTTTTTTGTTCATGATCGGATTTGGTTAGTCCTAATTTCTTTCTCTAAAATCTTCCGTGTTTATTGTTTATTGGTTTTTTTTTCCTTTTCCTTTTATCGATTCCTCTGCGAAAATGCAGGGCTTTGACGCAAATGAGGATCCCTCAGGCAGGGGCGACCCCAAGTCAGGATTCTGGGGAGCTCTGGCACAGAAAGCCAAATCTATTCTTGATGAAGATAATTTAATCTCGCAAAATGAAATGCGCGACAGACTTAGATCGCAGTCATTTCATAGCTCTAATGGTGGCCAGGTGATTGATTTTGCCTTGTTCCTTTTCTATTACAATGTGGATTCTCTCTGGTTCCTCTTCTTTCACATGCATTTTATCAGACATTCATAAATTATATATAATATATATCAAAGTGGTGATACATCCTGAATTACAAAGAGTATTGTGTTGCTTTTAAAAATGGAGCAGAGAAATCGGATTACTCGTTTAATGCAGGGGACGCAACTCGGAACTTGGTTTTCTTATATTTTTATTTGAACCTTGATTACTCAATGTCTGTGTTTCCTTGGCGTGGCCTCCCATTTGTTTAACAGTTCAACTTCAAACAATCACATCAAACACCCGATGGTCTTCTGAAAATGGATAATCCTAGACTACGGAAAGGCTTGGATGCTATTACCTCTTCCCTTAATCACCTAGGAGACACCTTTGAGAAAGCTTTTGAGGTACATCTGCTATTATTCTTTTGAATTTAAGGTTCTGCTCTGTACTTATTTGCTCACCCATACGAGAGTTATGCTATATATGTATGTCTGTTGTCTGCATATCGATTTCTCCTACGTTTCTCAGGAAGGTCGAACGATTGTGGAAACCAAAACTGCAGACCTGAGGACTCAAATGAGGCGAAAAGGAAGCAATCCCGGGGACCCAAATCAAGCTTCTGGTATGACCAGCAGTGCATTGAAGCAACCACCCCTAACAGAGAATCTAACAGATCATGAAACACAACTCAAGGCATCCCGCGACGTAAGGTGGCAACTATGTTATAGTGGTTCATGCATTGTCATAAGACTGCAGTTGATAATATAAATAAATTTGAAGCTAACGGCAAAGTACTTAGTTTGATGTCATATGGTTTGTCTTCAACTTTTAGTCCATACCCCAAACCACATTGGCATTAGGCTTTAGCTCACTAAAGTTTACAGGAAGGGCGTTTACACTGCGTCTTAAGCAAGATTATTCTGCTTACATGTTCTCATATTCATTGTGAGGACATTCTCATTATTGCTTCACATGTGGGAAAACTATTTTTGCCTTGTGCTGGTCGTGATTCGGTATATTGAAATGGGTTTATAACGCTTGTTTATTATATTAGAATCAACTGCTTAAGATTCATACGAGTTGACTGGCATGAGTTTTCCCTTGGCTTCGGCCACAGGTTGCAATGGCAACAGCTGCCAAAGCAAAATTACTTCTTCGTGAGCTAAAAACTGTTAAAGCAGACTTAGCATTTGCCAAAGCGCGTTGTGCTCAACTAGAAGAAGAAAATAAGTTACTCCGGGACCGGGAAGGTCGTGAGAAGGGACATGACCGTGCGGATGATGAGCTGGTATTGTTCTTGTGGTTCATTTACCTTATTTCTATGTTGTTCACCTAAAATTTTTCTTTATGCCCTTGAAACTGCCTAGCTACCTACAACTGTGTGAACCTGGCGTTGTTTATAGTGGAGTTTATTGGATTGGAAGGAAGATCTCTGTGTGCAGAATGAAACAAGCCTAAAGTAACTCTTGGATAACTGTGTTCAACAGATACGGGAACAACTTGAGACACTTCTAGCTGAGAAGGCTCGTCTGGCCAATGAGAATGAGACATATGCCCGAGAGAACAGATTCCTGAGGGAAATAGTGGAATACCACCAACTAACAATGCAGGATGTGGTGTATGTGGATGAGGGCATGGAAGAAGTGACAGAAGTTTTCCCTATCAACAGCGATGGAATCCCTCGAGTGTTGTCCCTCTCCTCACTCTCTTCATTGGCTGAGGCAAATGCACCAGCCACAAAGGAAGTAGTACCAGTGCATCCAGAGAAAATGAATACGTCAGGGGCTGACTGCGAGGCTCCTCCAAGGCATCTCAGTATCTGAAGATGACCCGCCAAAACGATTCCCTCTATAGCTTAGATGGGTTGGTTATGGAAGACATGCGTGAGGAGATTTTCACTTGTAGCCAGTGCTGTGAAACTAAGATTGGGGATGGAGGGTGTTTCGGGTGAGTGCTTGAGCATATACATATTTGTTATTCTTTTTTAATTTTTATGTTTTTGTATGTATCTTTTTTTCATCGGGCTTGGGTTGATTTTGTCAATATTTTTTTTAAACAATTTTTGCCCAAATCTTATCTGTTCAGCTGACGTGTGTGACAGCTTTTGGGATTTGAATGGATCCGTGTAATATAAACTTCATTAAAAGAGTGAAGTTAAAGCTTGTTTTTTCTTCATGTCTCGAATTCTTTGCTGCGTTTTGGTTCAATATGGGCTTCACACTGGGACAGCTAATAGAACATGTTTTCAAGCTCCGAGTTCACTCATTCACGCTAGTTGTTTTATCGCTGCTCCGCAGCTACACGCAATGGAGCTAAGATCTTTGGCTAGTTTTCTTTGGGTTAACCAGATTCTTTGTTGGACAATTATTCTTCGAGTCATGAATACACCCTTTACGACTTTTTTTTTTTGGGGAAAAAATAAAAAAGGATCATAACCTCGTGATTATTAGCCTCACCATGAAGTCATCATAATAATTCTTGTGGCGCGTTTCATAACATCAGCGCACAACATAAAGGAACAAAAAGTACAAGTGTAGCAATTTCTGTAGAGATTCTTTTTGGGCCTGAATTTCTGTCAAGAAATGTTACATTAACCAGACGATACAAATAGGAAATGGAAAGGCAGACTCTCATTCCCCCCCGAATGTACATTTGATTAACTGTTCGATTAGCTTCCTCTAGATTACAGCGCCTGTTCAGATACACACTTCAACATATTACTAATACATCATATGAACAGATGAGCAGTCTAACTCCATTTGGTGCGATGCTATTTTCATGGAGACGTTACCCGTGCTGATGTATGGATCAGGACTACTATCAGCTTTGGATAACTTGAAACCTTTTGTATCATCTGAATTTAGAATAACTGGAAAAACAAACTAGTAGAGCCATCCCCAAATGATTTAAGATCAGCAGGTTTCACCAACGCCCTGCACAAGGGGCAGGTCCTTTCCCTCTCAAACCTGGCACAATAGTTAAATAGATAACCAGAAGTCAGCACAAAACATGTAGCAGCAAGAAGCGAATAGGATGTAAGAAAGCACATTTGAACTTTAACTGTGCGCACAGGTCTTCCCTTGAGAATGAATTCCCCCCCCCCCCCAAAAAAAAAATACAAGACTATTTATTCGATTGTCACAATAAAATTATCTATGTATATATCAATGTTTATACGAGAAAACCAGATGGGAGGTCAGACAATCCAGGACGATGCACATGTACCGCAAGAACAAAGTCACAAACCAGCAATGTCATCTATAATCGGACAGGAGAAGCAAATACAGCTCAAGCAAATAGCAATGGCAAAGAACATGGGGCAGCATGATAGACAAGGAAAACAGAAAAGAAAGCATCACCATTCTGATACACATTCTTCACAGAAGATGTGATTACAAGAGAGTAAGATTGGGGTATGCATCTTCTCCTGGCAAATAGCACAAAGATCACCAACGGCATTCACCTGCATGCATCAGATAGAGAACTTAAAACATGCAATTGGTGAACCCGATGGTCATTCATCAACTTGGGAACCTTTAATGAAAGAGATAACATACAACAACAACAACAATAACAAGCCTTGTCCCACTATTTTGATAATAGAGATGGCATAAAGAATAACAAGCCTTGTCCCACTATTTTGATGATAGAGATGGCATAAAGGCAAATAAAATAATGCCCTTGATTTCAGATCATTTACGGTAGAGAAGACAGATCAACATATTTCGGAGATATTTGCATATTCAGTTGACTACCTGTTCCGATGTCGCATAAGCCCCATAGTGCACTTCTTTACGTGACAATGCCTTCACTGCAGCAAAGAAGGATTGCACCTGACAGCGGCACATAGATGAGAAATAGAACAATGTGGGAGTATTGGGGCAGAATATAACAGAGAAATGCAATCCAGTTATATAACTACCAAAAAAAGTGCTTAATTTAATTTCATTTCTTGGATAAAAGGATATTACCTTACATTACACAGAGGTAAAAGTAGAGATGCAATCAATAAGAGCAAGCTACATGCCTACATTATTTCTCGACAGTTTGAGACATCCTCACACAAAACCAGTAGTTTAACAGAGAAAAATACCCAAAAGGACCCTCATACTTATTGTTTACTTGGAAGAGCCACCTATTAGGAATAAAATTACGTCTTCAGTTTAAAAAGGAAATCAAGTCTAAAAAATATAAAAGGGAGGGGAATGACTCAATGGGTCAAAAAAACCAACTTCAAATACTCGGGGAGAAAATTGAGTGGGCTCTGTGAATCCAAGAAGCTAGTTATCACAAGCCCAAAATAAAAATGTGAATCTGCAACACATTTTAAAGGACTAAAGTACCTTCTCAATGACTGACGTCAGCTTAAATGTTAGATATAATCCTGTCATCAATGAAGAAAAGAAACTTCCATATTCCTTGTTCAAGAAGAATCGATACCATACTGGAGTTGGCAACAAGGCACGGTAAAGGAGGAGTAGGTACTCAACTAGAGTCAACATTTGGCCCTGTTGAATAGACAATATTGGTCATAATTTGGTAATTTGTAAAGCGTAATGCAGATTTTCATCTATGAATGAATACTCATGAAATATACAAGAGATATTGAGTAATATTAGTTGTAAAGTTAAAGATTCAAAGGATCCAGTTTTAGAAGTTTCATCCGCCTAAACATTACTTGCAGTGAATTATAAAATGCTAGATTCAACTGGCTCTAGTACTCTATATTTTATTACCTCACCTGCTTACGATAATTTCGGCCTCTGCCATTCTTGTAATACATCAACAAAATACACTTGAATACCATTCCTGCCTGGCGGACCAAAGCATCTGAAGTTTGTAAGACAGAGTAGCAAAACAATTAGAAGAAACAAGCCCCAAAAATAAAATTTCAAGAACAAAGAATTGAGTAACATGCAATTAGTTAGAATTCACACCACCAAGAGTAATTCCATGCCATTTGCAAAAGTAATTACAGATAAATGCGCACCGTATTTCTTTTTTTGATCTATTAATAATTACATGTTGAATGATTGAAAAAATTAAATAGAAGTGCAAGGAAAAGGAGCACCGGTTATGACTAATTATGTATGAACATCGAGTACAAGCTACTCTGAATGTCAAAATATCTTTTGCCATTATTAGTATAGGAAGCTATTCCTTCAAAAAGAAAAACTAAAATGAACACTGGGAAAAAAAATTGAAAAATCACATGAAGCAACTTGTAGAGAATAATAATGAAATCAGCAAGGCAGGCTTTATGGTATAATCATTTTCAAAAACAAAATACTTGCCTACATAAATCTGCGGAGACTCCATTTCAATTCTAAGACAAGCAGCATATCACAAGCATTTCGCAGAACAAAATGTAAAAGCATAGTGCTACACCGGAAACTTCGCCAGAAAAATTTATGGAGAAACATACCATTCACTGTGATGATGAAAATAACATGCCAAAATGGAGGTATGACTTTGGGAGGAAGCATAGCCAACGGGTATAGCATGTCATTATTCTGACACCACCAATATACCCCAACCACGTGCAGTGTAAATGCAATAGAAATGGTAATCAATACAGGAAATTTTCTCTCTCCCTGCAGTATTCAATAACAGAAATACTTAATAAACAAGAAAAACTTCAATTGACCACAAAGGACTGTTCCACTGGCCATTGAGGGGAAAAAAAATTGCAAATGCAAGAACTACCAAACCTTTAGAGCTGTCTGCTTCCGCAAAATGTCATTTGACTTGAAAAGGACAGCAGTAACCCAAATTGTAACAAAAAAACCTGCAATATTTGAACACAAAATGTGACAGAATGAACTCTTTACTTTTGAACACAATATAAATTGCATTTTTTTTTATTTGGCAGAGTGCTGCCAACTCATAAAGCAAAATAAATAAATATTCAATCACTTTCCAATAATTTGATTCAACAGAAGCAATATGCAGAGAGAGAACTGTAAGGTACAGTTACAAAGAAAAAATTTAGCATAGTAGGTGGCAAGACCAAGTGCCTCAAATAAAAAATAAGCTTCAATGAGCTGATTGAACTTGCCTGTCACACTTGAAAACCCTAATGGCTTTCTTTACATCTATGCATCATGGAAAGGGCAGTGCAAACCTAATCAGAACTCCATCAAATTACGCATCCTCACTTTGCGAAAGGATACAGCCCCTGATTGTATGCTTTCTAATTTACAATACAATTACAGAGATGAATAATCTGAACTTTCAATTCAATGAACCAGCCCACCAAATTAACATGCCAACGTAAAAGCTCTAACAATAATCTCCCAGAACCAGAAATCATCTTAGTTCATTTCTCTCACCATCTAAATCATATGTTCATATGATAACAGGGTCGATGAACTACTTGATCCTTAACAGGCCTCACTTCCATCAAACTTTATCGCAGGAAAACATTGAAGTAATCAGTCCATGAAAAGGAACAATATAATACCCCCAAAAGATTGAGGGACAGTGATACAGATGCAACTAAAAGGGCTCCTAGCATGGAGTGTTGATTGCACAAGAGGTCCCTTACGGTTGTCATTCATTGGAATGTTAATGTGACAGAGCCTAGAATAAAAGTTAGCAACACTTCCTACAGCAAGGGCTCATGATAGTAAAGTGAAGTTGAGGATTCAAAATGTACCTTGCAAATGCTGCCGAATGAAGACGACCAGCAACAGCAAAGAAAAAGGCAGGACCTGCTCAATCCAGCGAGCAGCCTGCTGAATATCATACCTCTGGGATGAAGAATCCCTAGCGTTAGCACCAACTCCATCACCAGCCTCAGCATCAGAATTTGCATTCACAGATTGGGAAACGCCCTCTTCTGCAACATGCTCAGTTCTTGAACGTTCCTGATTGCCCGGAGCAGGAGGAACCGTCGCAGAGGGCATCCCAGCCAAGGGTTGCGCCGGTATCGATACTTCATTCTGGGACAGAACTTCCCTCACTTCGCCTTCCCTATCAAGTCGTTGCTCCCCAGCCCCAATAATACTAATAGACACCTCTCCATCATTAGGAATGACGGAGGACTCGCCAAGGCGATTCCGTAAAGCATCACGGAATCCAGAAGACAGTCTATTGTTGTTGATTAAGGGCTCAGTCTCTTGTTGATTAGACCTGCTTCGAAGAATCCCTAAATGCTCCAACAACAAAGACAAGGGCGCCTGAATAATATTAGAAGCAGATGGGATACCGTATCGATTGGAGCTGGAAGTCACCGGAGGAGTGACGGGGTCGGGGGACGCTTCCATACGCGTGATTGCCCTAACCCTAATCATGAAAGGGAGGGATTCGAAGCAGGGATGACATTAAAGGGGGTGTTGGAAAAAACCAAAGATTGGCGAAACAAGACAGTGAAAATGAGGGGTGGCCTCGAGTGGAATCAAAGGATACGTATCGTCGAGGGAAGCACAAGTGTAAGAGGAAAGGATTGAAATTGAGGGCGGTGGATGAAGAAGCAAAAGGCGGGTCGGGGGTGGAAGAGACTGGACAGAAATGGGTAGCGAGAAATTGAAATGATCGGGATTAGGAATTTGGGAATTGGCGAATAGGGGTGGTTGGCGTTGGCGAATAGCAGGAGAGTGAACCAAGGGAGCTGACCTAATTGGGCTTTGCTAAACAGTCGAAATGTATTTTTGTCCAAAATTATTTTTATAATACTAGGACTTTTAGGAGTAATATTAACACATATTCCTTTCAGTTTAAAATATAATTTAAACTTTATTAGAAGAATTTAATTTTTTATAAGATAATATTTATTTTTATTTGAGAATTTAATGATTTTTTTAACAATTTTATCCCATATGTTCTCTTTCCTTTTTGATTTATTTATTACATCTTTTGTTTATTCCCTTTATTAATAAGGACATATTTGAGGAAAAAATACGTGTCTTACTTATTTATTATTTTAAACTGGGTTAATATAAGCTTTCATTATCTAAGTTTACTATCATTTTAATTTTGGTCCCTCAAGTTTTTTTCATTTAAAATATTGATCCTTATAAGCAAATAAAAACTTAGGCTATTTTACTCTATGAGGGACCCAAACCTATAATTTGAATTTGAGAAACTAAAACCAAAATAAGAACAAACTTGAGAGACCAAATATTATATTAATACTTTTTAACTGGTTTTAACTAATTTTTTGAATAAACAAAAAGAGATAAAATTCATCTTATATTTTGAACTGAAAGAAATAATTTTTTAAATCAATAAATATTGTCCCTCGATTTACCATTATTAAGTCAAATCAGGACTTTAAAAAAATCTTTTGACCTGAATTTACAGTTTGATTTAGTGCTCATTTGGCGTGATACTTAAACTTTCAAAAGCCGCATTGAAAACTCCAAAAACAAAAAAACACATTAATGACCTTGAAACCATGTTTTGTGTGGCCTTGGGGCCTTATGACTTTTGGATCAAAAGCAAAATTAAAGTCAAAGTTGGTTTCCACTCTTTTTCAAATTTAGAACTTTTAAATTTGATTTTTTAATATATCATTTAAACAAATTTTTGTTAAATTAATTTATATAAAGCATATCTAAATATAAATCACATTACGTTGATAAAACTTTAGCCACACTCCAATTTGCAAAATATAATTGGAATAAAAGTTACCTTTGCAAATGTTAACGGCAACTTCCCTTGGGGATTAGGAGAAGGTAGTGTTGCAACTTCCCTCACGCAATTGAACCCATTTAAAAATGGACTAAACGTACATTAACCATTATATATTTGTGGTCACATTTGATCTTATTTTAAAGGAAATAACAATTGAGTTATCATATATTTCCTTTTTCTCCCTTGTAATCATCTAACAATCATTAACTAATTCCAATTTGAGGAAATGTGAGGCAAACTCTTCATTCTTCAACATAGTTTTTTTATTCAAAAAACTTTCCTGACATGATTTTTTTTTTTCTTCATTAACAACCTTTCTTAACTATCCATTGATTAATCCGTATTGAAACTTCAAGAATCAAATGGGCAGAACATCTCTCATACATTGTTTGAGAAGTATGGAATCCCACGAACTTAATTCAAAGGATATCAGTGATCATAAATTTATCAGTTTCATTTCTTAAAAAAAATTACTCTTTCGGTCCTTAATATAAGACCTAATTGTTGAATTGATTTTGGTTATAAATATAAGACCTATTTCTCATATTTATCAATTTTTTTTAAATTACCTCTATAGATACTCCTCAACCATAATCAAGTAGGAGAGAGAGAGAGGATATTCAGAAAAATGATTATAGTATTTTAAAAAAAAAAACATGTCATATTTCTTATAATTAATTAACTTGCATAACTTCTTTATTCTAATCAAATTAGTTAAATAGGTCTTATATTAACTATCAAAGGAGTATTTTTTATCCTGCCATCTTGTGAGTAAAATTGCAATTACATAATATACTGATTTTAGCCCAAATGGACAAGAAAGATGTTATATTTAATTTTTCACATGATATTTTATTAAATGAAGTTATCACACAATCACTAATTGTCTCATAATACATGATGTTTTTAATCATGTTGCATGCAATCAAATCGATCATCAAACTGTAACTATAAAAAAATGAGCGCCGATAAATGTGAATTAGTATATTTTCCAACAATAAATAGGGAAGTGCAAGTGTTATTGTTTTTTTATGTAAGGAATAATGCATTGATTATGATTTGGATTGTTGAGCTCGAAGTGTCAACTCAAGTGTCCAGTGTGAACAAGCAAGGAGGGCATAGACAACTGGACACCGATGAATTGTTGTGTTTTGAATATTGAGAACAAATAAGTAAATGAATGATAGTGATTTTTTTATTATTATTATTATTATTATCATTATTATCATTATTAATTTCTTTCTCTCAATTCTTCCTGTTAATATCATACTACCTCCGATCTTCAATATAAAAACTGATTTGACATTCATTTTACTCCTAAATATAAAATTCAATTCATTTAGTCTCTCATATTTATTTACTTTTTTTTTAACATAGTCCTTGTAATAACTGTACATATTAAAAGTTCTATAAAATGGTAATTATAGCTAATACATTTTATTAGTAAGAGTATTGTAAGCAATACAATACCTATTTATTATAAATAACTAAATTAATTTTTTTAATCTACTCAAATTAGTCACTTAGCTCTTATGTTAAGGATCAAAAGTAATAGTATGTATCAATCAAGTTTTAATTGTCAAGAGAGTAGTTTCTCGTGCAAGTGAATGAAAGAGATATTTTGGGACAACTAATACATATATTTTTTAAAAAATAATTAATTTAGTTATTTTTTTAATATCTTTAAATTAATTATTTAATTCCCACAGGATAATAATTATGTAATGGAGGAACAGGTGATTGGCTTAAAATTAAATTAAAATGGGGTGTGGAAAGTGGGAGTAATTAAAAGAAATTAGTGGGCTCCCTCTACCCTTGCCTTCTTAGCAACAAAGCTCCCTTTATTTATGGCGCAACCGCACCAACTGCTCTTCCTACTTTAATGTATTGTCAAAGCAAATCAATAATGGCTCCATTATGAAACCACTTCAAATTAATAAGCCTCTCGTTCATTGATTGATTGTTGGAGACAGATTTTATTCCACACTTTCTTCATTTTTTTTTATAATCACAATTATCATTAGAAACAATTCTCTTCAAACTATTGTCATACACTAAGGGCTTGTTTGGCAATATGATGAAACTATGGTTTTGGATCCCATGAAACTATGGTTTTGGATCCCAAGTTTGCCAAACAGGGAGGAAAATTAACAAACCACGATTTTGGGTCAAAATTATAGTTTTAGAAAAAGTGAATTCATTCTGCGTCTGGTTTAAATTGGAGAATATGATTACACCTTTCAATTATTTTTTTATAAACATATTTAATCTTATATTTTATAAATATATACACATATTAATTATTTATTAATTATATTATCTTATATATTATTAATTATGTTGGTAAAAAATATATTATTAACAATTTTATTCCTTCAAATTAAAATATATTATAAAATCTATCTTCTATGTAATTATCATATTAACTTATTTTTTTTAGTAATTTGCATATATAAAAATTGTTTTTGATAACAATTATTCAAACACTCTCACTTTATCAGAATCACTTTTTCACAAAATCTATTTTTTCAAAAATATATTCTCCAGAAACTATTCTCTAAACCATGATTTAGTTTCATCCAAACACCTCTTAAATATGGTGCTTTTTATAGCAAAAATTCAAATCTTAATTTGCTATTTTGTGAGAACAAACTCATTCCATTAGATTCAATTTCCTTTGGTTGTTTCACACTTTTAGTTATTGAAGAATTGAATCGTACAATTCAATGATCGTCCAAGTGAAAAAAAAAGATATGATCTAATGAAATAAATTCAAATTAGGGTTTGAGAATAAAGCCCTTATTCATGGGTAAAATGTTAGATAGGGGTCAGATTTTTTCCATTGCTAATTTCTCATACTAAGTACTCTCTCTCTCTCTCTGTTTTTTTTTTACAAGAGACTATTAACAATTTAAAAAAAAGTTAATTTAAATTCATTAAAAACAATAACAGTGTAAAAATGTATTCTTTTTTTTTTTTGGAAAAATACACTTACTTATTGGGGGACAAAGCGTGAGAGATGGAATAAACAAATTACAAAAATAAACTATGCGTGGAAGAGAAAAAATGCATAGTGAGGAGAGGGTGCGTGAGTGAAAGAAGGAAAATAATCTATCTTAATCATAAATATAATGATGTTAATATGAATAATTAAATACAAGTAAAATAAGAAATTAGAGAAAAATTATAGATAACTTCTAAGTATTTTTTATAAATAGGAATAATTCATATCACAAACTGTCTCTTATAAAAATGAACTAATGGATTAATTAAAAACTTTTAATTTGTGGTGTAAAACTGTCCCTCTAATTTCTCATTTTTGGTGAAGAAGATGACTTTTCTCATTAAATTGGTTTTGCTGTAATGAAATTTCCTGCAGGGAGAGATTAGTTTAGATATTCTTTTTTTTTTTTTACCAGCAGTTTAGATATTCGAATCTTGTGAAAAACATGATTTTTATCATAAAAGTCACTAGTAGTCCATAACACCTAGTCAGAGCCTGGTCTTATCCCGTCCCCGGGTCAGATCTGAACTCCATCAGGCTTCTTTTCTTCTCATCATGGGTTGGATTGGGGCAGGTCCGGATTGGACTGGATTACCGGTTGCTTAAACAGTCCTATTAAAGTGGTAGAAATTAATACTCTTTCAGTTCTTAATATAAGATCTATTTAACTAATTTAATTAGATTAAATATATTAGATGAGTTAGTTAATTATAAAAATTATGACATGTTTTTCCAAAACACCATAATCATCTTTCTTAATATCCCCTTTTCCTCTTCTATTTGATTGTGGTTGAATGAGTATCCATATGGATAATTGAGAAAAAATCGATAAATATGAGAAATAGATCTTATATTTATGATCAAAATTAACTCAATAATTAAGTCCTATAG